TATTCTTTGAATTTTCGAATTTCCAGTCATTGATTTTGTGTCAAATTAATCTCGCGCGGGTGGAGATCGAGAGTGAATCAAACATAAACTCCTTAAATGTCAGTTTAAAAGCTAAAATTTATTTATTTAGCTGGGTATAAGGTCCTCAAAACGTTTGCATAATGCATTAAAAATGGAGCGATAAGCCAGGCTACCTATTTTGATTCCGTACCATGATAAGGTTCAGCGTTGTTAGCTAAGTCAGTCTTACAGTAGTTAGGTATTTCAGCAATTTACGGCGTCTTACTGACATTTGGCCACTTAAAGGTGAATCTTTCACTACTTCTTGTTAAGTTTTGTCATTAAAAGTTATTTTTGAAGTAGGCTTTTACTTCCACAGGCATTTAGCTGCAACCAGGTTTGTGCTTTCTTCTGTGAAATAATAGGGTTTGAAATGGTTAGCAAAGTACGAAGGACGCAGCTGTACATAACCCAATTCTGGACGAAGGTCAACCTGCCTAAATAGTACCGAGCTCCTACTCTAAAATCACTGCCTCAAACCACCCTGCCACGATGGACGGTTTAGAGATCTTAATTTATTTCCGAAAACGTATAACTACGAGGAATTATGCAGAATACTTACATTTTATGTCGACGTTCTAGTGGAATTGGTTAATTCGCTTTCATATTAAAATACAAAGCCCAGGCCGCAAACCTAAGGAGTAAACTGTTCTTTGACAGTAAATGCGTGTTTACATGAGGCGTCACAGTGCTTGCAAGACGAGATGCTGGACATCTGAACCACGCAGTTATAGGAATTGAAGGAAAACGGAGTTTCTCGGCCGAGCATAATGAACCTAAACGCGTAATACTCCGAAGATCTTAAATAGAAAAAGATAAAATCCAAATAGCATAATTAGTAGACTATTCTCTTCAGTTGGGTTATGCAGAATCCAAAAGCCATGCCTGATTTTATCCGTTTTTTTTTCTGTGTAGAGTTTTTCAGTACTTTATTTTTGTTTCTCTACGCCTGTTAGGCTACGTAGCAACACCAAAATTTGACTTCTGTACAGAATTTTTCAATCCAACGCCATCGTTTACAGATTGACGCGAAAACAGTCTATGACTTTGCATTTTATTAGTCATGAGCAATTTGTCAACCGAATATGAACGTCGGTGTTTACACAGTTTACCCCTAAAATACTACGATTGTGTTGGCCGGTGTTTGTTAGGGGAAAGCAGTATGGTTTTAATGTTTTGCAGTTTATATCCAAAATAGCCGCCAACTCTGATACTTATCATCTCGTAAGCGTCTCCCATATTGATTCTTCTCGCCACTTTGCCTCTGCTGTTAATGCTTCGCTAACAGTTCAGGCAAACTCTCAGTGTAGTTATAAAATCCTATCTGAGTTTGAGACTGACTGATTTTGGTTCTTTACGTACACACCTCCGTTAATCCAAATAGAACTAATTGTTCCATAGAGAAAAACGTCAGAGATACAGCTCTAGATGACAAAAATGAGTATTTAGCTACAATTAAGGTAAAAAGAAATTTGACATGCAATGGTACCTTTGAATTTGTCTGCAGCTGTTTAGATCAAATTTAAAATTATCTTTTTTCGAAATTGCTACAGACCCTGGTTTTCGATTAAAATGGACTTTCATTGTACTAAATAGAGATATAAGGAGTATTTAGTAACTCGCTTTATTCCGAAGATGACATTATTGATGCTTATCGAAGTTTTTCTTCTATCTTATCGACATATATTCTGAGCGTCACTCAGGCCAAATATGAAGTAACTTGAGGTAAGCTTAAACAGACTACCTTAAAAGGCCTCATTTTGAAGCAAACAACATCCTGCATGAACAATTTTAAATACCCGTAATAGATTAGATAAAATTATCGATATACTGAAATGAGCTAACACGTGTCTCGTTATCTCAAAGGAAGACTGATGTATCTGCCAAAATTTTTCTCTAAAATCTCCAACTTGTTAAGTTGATAGAGCAGCCCATCTACCTCCTGCATGTTGCAACACTCCTACAAGGTGATAAGCATTTTACACCTTCTAATAACATAACTAGGCAACATTATTCAAAAATATGAAACTAACCACTTCATTCTAGAGTCTACGTGTTTGTTTAGACCTTAAGTCCCGTGATCTATGTAAAGTATGATTTTTCTCCTTAACCTATTCTCATTCTAAAGAATCTTTAACGTATATCTGTGCGCTGTTCCACCGCCACCCTGCTCACAAGCAAATCGTGAGTCACCCCCTCATATGCCAGTAGTCTAGCTGCCCTGTCGCCTTAAACTGTCTAGTGTAACTTTTGTACATTCTCGCTTCCTTTCATTTTGTCTGACAACGGGTTAGTGTCAAAAACTCGAAAATTCGCAACTTGATTTTTCCGAAGAACCTCTTCCTTTTTTCAGTATATCAAAACTTCTAAACGTAGCAGCTTAGCATATTTCGAATGCGGAAAGCATTTACTCGGAGGAACTCATATAACTACTACAAGTGGGACGTTAAACATTGACTTTTATAGTTCCCCGATAATGAAGTGTATTACTAGTGCACCCCATAAATCTCCGCGAAAAGCTATTTATTTATCTATAGACCCTTTCACATGCCCCTTTCTTCAGATCGCTGGTTTTGCTCAGCCGATAACATTTCCCGATGGCAACACATCTGCGTGAAGGCGAATTCACATCCACAATTTACGGCTTTATAAAGGAACAAAAGTATACAGAGGCCGTGGCTGTGCTTACGCAGCAACTCTACGCTCATCCCTCCTCAAGGGCTGCCCTTTCGTTGCTAGGATACTGTTACTATCAACTACAGGATTTTGTCAACGCCTCTGATTGCTACGAACAGTTGGCCCAGAGCTATCCTTCCAATGATGATTACAAATTATACTTCGCGCTTTCTCTCTACAAGGCCTTCCTTTTCGAGCCAGCAATAAAGGTAAACGCTTAACACTTTATGTCCATGTAAATTAATATTTTCGAAGTTTCGAAGTTTTTGTGCCATGTAAGCATTCAGCTTGACCATCACAATGTTTAATCAGCACCGAAAATGATTAAATATCCAATTAAATATTTTAAACACACTCTCGGGGAGCTTACAACGCATTATGACTAGTAGCTGGAATTACTGGACAGTTTGTGAAATCAGTAATTGTCTAAAAAATTTCGAGGATTTATTTGTGAGATGTAGCCGAAAATGGTGCAATTCTTGTCAGTTCCAGTAAATTTTGACTTGTCGCTTCAACATGGAGGAGAACCAATGCGTGATTATACTTAACCTATGTAGGACACCTAACTTATTAACAGAGTGCCCAAACAGATAAT